AATATCACAATAAATCACAATATTTGTATGCAATTTTACATAACACATTTCACTTAATTTCACAAAGACATTCAACAATCACTTTTCATCATTCAAGACTATCGAATCTTTGTCACCTTATGGATTGTAAATAACCCAGAAAAAAGGAAAGAAAAATAAATCTACCATAACAACACATTTTTGCTTCTCTAGGAAGAAAGAAAATATGAAAAAGGAAAGAAAAGAGAACTTGGAAATGGCTGGGAAGGGGATAAAAAAAAAGAATTGGGAATTGGATGGGGAAGAAGGTAATGGTAATTAGAGAGAGAGAAAGGGAAATGGGGTGGGTTGTGAAGGAAAGAAGAAAGAAGTGATTTTTTTTTTAATTTTCTTTTGTTTTGGTCTTTTTTTTTAAAAGAAACATTTTTTTAGTATAAATTTTGAGTCCACACTCCTTCTACGCGTGAAATCATGTGTAGGTGCCAACTCAATAATTAAATTGTCACATAAGCATGGTCAATGGTTAGAAGGACTTAAAATATTAAGTTTCATTGAGTTTAAGGGTCCAATTGACAAAGAGTCAAGTAGAAAAGTTCAAAATACAAACGGATACAAGTACAAGGATCCATCAGACCATTTCACCTAATCAAAACCCAAAAAGATTATTAGAGAAGAAAAGGGGCTGATATTAGCTGGTTGAACACTTAAATAAATATATGACAATTAAGGAGTAAACAAATTAATTGGAGGGAGTCATTAAGATTAAGTATATGAATAAGCTTTCATGCATTCTAAGTGAGATTATCAAATCAAGACAATTGTCACGGATTTAGAGTTTTTACTAAAGCTCTGTGCAGCACTTGACAACTTACTCACTATTCTTTCAAGATCTCGTAAGCTCAAGTAAGCCTTTAAGACTAAGATCGCTAAGAGAATGCAAATAAATACTTAGAAAGAACAAGAGAGCTTTTGAAAGAAAACTTTTTGTATTGCTTGGAATGCTTTACACTTGAGTGATTGCTTGCTTCAAGCTTGGATGATTTACAAATGAATGCCCCATCTATTTATACTACAACCTAGGGGCTAAAGTGTAAAAATAAAATTTACTTGATAAGTCCCTTTAATAATTACACTTTGGTCCCTCTCTAGAACTCTCTACATGTTCTAGGATATTCCAAAATCTTCCAAGATATTTTATATGACATTCTAGAGATTTCTAGGGAAAGGTCTAGGAAATTCTAGAGTGTTCTACTAACCTCCCCACAACTCTAGATTCTTCTCCATTTTTCCGGTGCCAAATTTGAATTGTGAAGTGGCGGGTTATAACACTCTCCCCCACCTATTGATGCGACGACCGAGTCGCATCATCGCTGCATCACCAATCAAGTCTTGTCTCCTCGTACGGGTGATCAATAGTCCATTGACTCGGTCAACGCCCTTGCGCAACTCTTTTAGTTGATTCCTGATCTCTTTCAGCTCGGTCTTATGATTTACCTCCTTCCTAGGAGGCAAACGCCTTGGCGGCTTCTTTGGCATCCCGACATTGTTCTTTTCTAGAACTTTCTCCATGTGTGGTGGCAAGGACTCTTTAGCACCCTTGTCTTCTTTCGAACTTGCAATAGTAGTGATAAACGTCGACTCCTTCTTAGGGCTTTTTACGAGCTACATGGCCGTCAGACGGACTTGTTCTTCCGTCTTTGATACTTTAACTAGGGGCGTCATGCATGATCCTCCTTGCTCCATGACTAGAAGTCGTTGGAGGTAAGGGTCTATCACCGCGTGGCACTCTTGGAAGAACTTCTTCCCTAGAATGATATTGAAGAGACCTAAAAGGCGACAGTGAAATTGGTCTTACCTTGCCACTCGCCTAGCGTGATGCTTACTCTGTGCGAAACTCCACACACGGAAGTCGGTGGTGCATTGACCGTCCTGAGTTGGGCATTACTTGGACAGTAACTCAGCCCCAACCTTGTCGCTGCCGTCTTAGTCATGATGTCTTTGCACCCACATAGACCATAGCACGAGTGGGTCTTCCATTGACATAATGTGCACCGTATTCTTTCAGCTTTCCTGGCTGCTTGGTGATAGCTCTGCATAGTCCTATCAAGCCCAATTGCGTCGTCTATGCGTCTTCTCCTTGCTCTTGTGCATCGTTCTCTTTCCACTCTCGTAGGATAGCACCAAGGATCTTCAGTTCGGGGCACCTTGCATAGCCATAGGGCCCACCGCATATATAACAACCATTTTTTTTGGCAATTTTTGTCTTTCTCTTTGTGTCGCCATGATGTCCAAACTTATTGCCATCGGACCTATAAGTATCATGATTCTTGAGATGTGGCCGCTGCTCCTCGACCTTTCCACGATCTCCCCCACCATGGTCATGACTATCTCTTTCTTCCTCTCCTCTAGCCCTATCGGGCTTCTCATGCCTGAAGTCTGTGAAAGCTTCGGCCTGCATGATGGCTTCATCGATAGTCCTGACCTGTTGGCGTTCCAACTTCATTCTGGCCCAATTTTGCAGCCCATCCATAAAGTGGAACAAGATATCATCATCCGTGAAGTTAGGAATTTGAAGTGTGATAGTCGTGAACTCCTTCACATACGCCCGAATGTTGTCTTTTCTACTTCAACTCCCTAAACTCTCGCTTAACCTCATATATGACGTTGTTAGGGAAGAAAACTTTCTTGAACTCCTCGCAGAATTTCTCCCAAGTGTTGATGATACACATCCCCTTCTTTGTCTCGGCCTCCTTGTGTCTCCACCATAGCATGGTCATCTTTAAAAGGTACAACACGGCAGTGTTGATTATGTTCTCATCACTCTTCACCCGACTACACTTGAAGTAATTCTCCAAGTGCCACAAGAAGTTTTCCACCTCTTGAGCGTCATAGACGCCTTTGAATATAGCTGGCTTGGGAGCCTCGACCCTGGCCTCCCTATCACGGTCGGATGACACCGATCCTCCAACTTTCACGCCTTCCTTAAGTGTTTTCATCTCGGCCTTCATGGTTTCAATTGTGCTTAACGCCTCCATGAACCGACACTCCAAGGAGGTGATGGCTTCCTTCATCTCGAACTCACCCTGCTGACGTCCCTCCAACTCTTTACGGATGTTTTCGGTCTCATCAATGGTGAAGTCTTCAAGAGTTTTGAACTTGTCGTCGGCCACATTCATGCGCCAGCCTAATATTTCCACGGCCTACCTCCCCACTTCAATCCTTGCGACCCACTCCTCTCTGGCGGTGTCGTCAATGGCCTCATCGCCAAGTTCATCGTCACTTGCTTCGGTGGTCGAAGGTGGATGAGATGTTAGCGCCTCGCTTGGTGTGGGATCAAACAACATTTCCTCATTACTCTTTTGGTGCTTCTTTCCCTTGCGGTTCTTCTTTCCACCATCCAAACGGACGTTGGTAGTACTAGCGACGTTCACGTCTCCTTCGTTAGTCATTCTCTTAGTATCAAACCTCGCTCTGATACCATGTTGTCACGGAGTTAGAGTTTTTGTTAAAGCTCCATGCGGCACTTGACAACTTACTCACTGTTCTTTAAGATCTCGTAAGCTCAAGTAAGTCTTTAAGACTAAGATCGCTAAGAGAATGCAAATAAAGACTTAGAAAGAACAAGAGACCTTCTGGAAGAAGGCTTTTTATATTGCTTGGAATGCTTTACACTTGAGTGATTGCTTGCTTCAAGCTTGGATGATTACAAATGAATGCCCTATCTATTTATATTACAACCTAGGGGTTAAAGTGTAAATAATATTTACTTGATAAGTCCCTTTAATAATTACACTTTGGTCCCTCTCTTGAACTCTCTACATGTTCTAGGATATTTCGAAGTCTTCTAAGATATTTTCTATGACATTCTAGAGTTTTCTAGGGAAAGGTCTAGGAAATTGTAAAGTGTTCTACTAACCTCCCCACAACTCTAAGTTCTTCTCCATTTTTTTGGTGCCAAATTTGAACTGTGAAGTGGCGGGTCATGACACAATGCTCTCATGTTTCACTGCATATGACAACGACATCTAATGTTGTATGTGCATAGTCATCAATTAAAATAAAAGGCATAACCACATACATTATTTCTAATTTTAGTTTTACATATAACTCACTCTTTACCCCCACTTCATTTACTACTCCCTATGTCCCTAATTACTTGTCCACTTTTGAATTGACACACTTATTAAAATGACAATTTTATCATTTTACCCCTATTAATTATGAAGTAGATAAATTAAAAACTTAAGATTTTCAAAAAGTTTTACCTTTAACAAAGTAATTAATTGAGAGTATAATAGGTAAAAAAAAATAAAAATTCTTGATTTATCAAAATGGACAAGTAATTAGGGACAACTATAAAAAGAAAAATAGACAAGTAATTAGGGACAGAGGGAATATTTATTATTTTCTAGAAAAAGTAAAAAAACTAACATTTATTAGAATGATAATTTCCATTTTATCCGCTGGAGGTATATTCCCATTCCCAGTGGACCTATTTTTCTGGCGTGCGCTGACAAGGAAGAGAATCACGATGACAGCTTTACAGTAAGCGTGGAAGATTTCTACAAGGACTTTCTCAGTCTCATGAAGAACCCATCCATAATCACAGTCCAATTTTCAGACCTACACCAAGCAGGGCGTTAAACAACAATTCCTAAATAGGTTAATAACAACTAATTCAAAATGGAAATGCAAATCAAACTAGTAAGGTAGAATATTTTTCCTATCTTTGAACGTTAGTACAACATGAGGAAGTCAAAGTGCTCAACAGTTAACTATTGTTGTGACAATGGTAAGCACTAGTCTTAACGCAGTAGCTAAGGAACATCCAAATACAACTCATTTACCTGCCTCACTTTTAGAGGAATAACTATCAACGCAATGGTCATGTGTAACAAAGCACAAGATACGAATAACTATCTCATCGCTTCTCTTCAGATTAGGTGATGAATAACACAGACACACAACATCTTTGTAATATAATATATAATTAACAAAAGCACGCACATTCACAATGAATGTGAAATCAAATTAACAAGTTCGTTTTCTCATTGGGCAATACAATATATAACACTTGAGCCAATTTCCCAACGTTAGTAACCACTACACACAAGTGCAGATGATGAGAAATCAGCATATAGAAACCCAAAAAATATGTAATTGTGTGCTAATGAATGGTTACATATCCCATCAAAACAAGCGTTTACGACAGTCAGCAGCACCACAGTAGCAAGCCATTTGTTTAACCTTCCCCTCACGATCCATAACACTATCCAGAACATAGCCATAATCATACGTGAGTTCCTACAAGTAAACCATAAACAAATCAATGAACAATTTAATAGTATAAAGGCTGCTTCATACTATAGTACTGCTTAATAAGGGATAAAAGTGCAGCCTCTCCAGGTATTTAGGGGTCATTTGGGTGGGAACTAGTTATCCCAGGATTAACTATCATGGGGTTAGTTATCCTGGGATAACTTATCCCATCACTATGCTATTAATGGTGGGATAAGTTATCCCAAACGTGTCAACCAAACAACACATCTAAATTTTATCCCAGGACTATTTATGCTTATCCCTCACACCAAACGAGCCCTTAGGGTTAGGCAAAATCTGAATCATACAATCAAACGTGACTACTGCCCAAATACTTACCAACAAGTACACAACACCTCAAAAAAAAAAAAAAGTAAACAAGTACACCGTAATAAGCAATTTTTCTAGCTTGCTGATTGTTCAAAAGTCAAAACAGCTTGCTATAAAGCTACAGCTCTCAGTGAGGAGTAAACTAGTTTTGAAGCCACCGCTTCCAGTCAAAGAGAACAGTGAGACAATTTAATAATCTTGATGCACAAACTGGTTGGAAATTGATTGTGCACATTATTCAACTTCAAGATATAGTGCAAACTGATGACATAAATTTTGAAGGGTTTCGGCAGCATCAGTATAACCTTTAGTAAACTGCAGAACATATTCTCACTGTTCCCTCTCCAAAAAATCTCTCATATAACCCTTTAGTATCTTTTACATTTCCCACGATTCTTGAACACAATCTTCTTAGCATAACCCCACTTTCCATAACAGACCCTAAGTTAATCACTGTTATCCAATTAGAAACAAATAGAACAAATTTTATCAAGTTCATTGAACTACACAAGGAGTAAGATTTAGCAGAAACCTGCAGAGGTGGTATGTTGTCAGCTGCCATTAGCACCACTCTTGCCAAACCAATGTCATGATGGGTGCTTAACACACATTGAACAAATAAATTAGGTTGACAACTATGATTAATAAACCTCGCAAAATTGCCAACAGAGACTGCATCAATGCAATATTCTGGCCCTCCGTCTGACGTCTTCTCAGCATCGTTGTGCCAGTATCCCGGCAAAGAAACCTCACCCAACCGTCTCTGCAGAAGAACATAAGAAAATGAAGTGAATAAGAAAACAAAACCAAATGGGAGAATAGTGCTGTTGTCATGATGCCTGATCTCAGGGAAAACTGCAACAGCCAAAAATATCAGAGAGTATGAAAGCTGGATGATTTCTACACGACTAAATCGTATATTAAGTCCAGGGAATATAGTAGTTTTGGAAACACACCCTTTGGCTAATCCTAGAAGAAATGTAAATGACATAAGAGAAATATCTGAACACTTGCCTCCCTCCCATCGAGCCCTTTCATTGTTTGCAAGCAATCAATGTCAAAAACATAGTTGTTATCTGCTGCAGGATCAATCTGATCAGTCTTCTTCAAAAGACCAGTGTATTCACAGATGGTTGCACCAGAAGGAATATAATCCCATGATCTCACACCCCAGCCCTTGTTTGGAGTACGAAAAACCTGCTCCAATTGACAAAGAAACAGCCATAGAAATGAATACACAGCACTCTTCTGTATAGAAAAATCTGAAATCTGGTTAATAGACAAGTGAAATAACCTCAAGCCGATATCTCAATCCTTTCTGAGAAGTGCGGTTGACACAAGCAGGTCCGCATCCACAATTCGGACCACATTCAAAAACAACAGCCTTTGGCTCAATAAGTCTACAAAGAAAAATATACTGAAAATAAAAGGCATGTTGAAAGAATTCCACTGTAAGGCAACTGCAAACAGAATATTAATAAACTCTCAGCTTTGCTGTAAAGTACCAGACAAAGTTCAAAGCACTTGTCACATGTTGAAAGAATTCCACTGCATTGCATTATGATATCTCATATAACTACACTGAACTAACGAGCAAGAAAGTGTCTTGCAGTTGTAACTTATAAGACGACCAAACAGGTATCAGATAAGGGAAAGACATAAAAGGCAACTCAAAATATTCTTTGTTCTATTCATCAGAAATATTTAATAGCAGGGAGCCAGGGACCATAAAATGCATTTATAATAAGCCAGGACGTTAAACAATTCTTGGTTCTATGGCAATGATACAAGTGCCTTAGAATCTTGGTAACTGTACTACCTGCTATGAGAAACTTCCGCAAAGCGGTAAACATGTTTTGCACCTAGCTTCAGGGTTTATAGAAACATAATAATGGTCCGTATAACCTAAAACCCACAAAAAAAGCATCATGAGAGAACAGTGAGGTTATAAAAAATTCTTGGTACTCTCTACTGCCTACAATGAATACCCTGATAAAACCACCTTCCTCATTTTTCTCAGTTAGTCAACTGAGGACTTCCAACACCAATGGGAAATGGAGCAGCTAAACGAGGTACCCTAGCTAAATCCCCCAGAAATACCAAGAGAGCTGAAAATATTTATTCTTATTAAAATTAAGGACAGACAAAAAGCAGAAAAGAAGGAGCACTATTATATGTGAAAAGGGTGATCAAAATGCAAATATCATAAAGAATTAAACATGTAGCATGAAGGCCTAGACAATCATGCCTTACAGTAGGCAATTGTTGTTAGCATGATTGGACAGATTCTAAATATCTGTACATATCTATGTTATAACTCTAAATATTTGTGTAATGATGATAGGAGATAGCATAGATTAATGTAGCATATTTTCAGAGATATTTAGGGATATATAGCAGATTTTTAGGCATGTAAATCAGAATTCTTTCTATTTAATGGAAGAACTCTCATTTGAGAGAACTCATTTCAGCAAAATTGACAATTGTGTGCAGGTAAACATGTCAGATTAGAAACACAAGTGGATGTTAGACACGAGGTAAATGAAATTCATCTATAATTTAACCTAACATACTCTGACAAAGGATTGAAATACTGCACTCACCTTCCACCATCTTTATGAACATAGGGAAATTCAGAACCATTGAGTTTAGCACAAGAACAAACTCTTGGATCAAGACATGAACCATGACAGTTGCATCCTGTGGGAGCTGAAGGGAACTTTATACCTTTGGCACATACGATATCCCTGCTATAAGTCAAACCTGAATGTTGTGTAAAGTTTTAACATCAAAAAGATAGGCACAAATGGATATGAGCTACACTTCACATTGGCAAGATGTTTACAGGCACAAACTTATTGGTATCTCCACTAACCCTCCCATTTCCATTAGAAATCGTGTGTTAAACATTCATGACACTTAGAATCAGGGAAAGCTAAATATCAGAACACAAAAACATATTAAACGAGTTACTGCTGAAATTGATAAAGCTTAAAGGATTCCTGCAGTAGGTAAGATGAAGATAGAACAATGCATTATTATACAACACTAAAAAATACTTAGAACCTTAATTTTAAAATAATTACAATACCTCTATCCCAAGCTAGTTGTTGTCAGCTAAATAAATCCTCAATATATCTATTCCGTGAAATATAATTCATGAAACCTAATATCTATATATAATTTTTCAAGTTCTTAACATTCCCCTTCAAGTTGGAGTGCACAAAATGCATGCTATAATTTGCCACAGATATAGTCAATTTTAAAGCCACAATATGATTTGTAACAATGCCTATCAATTGGTCATTTGAATTCAAGAAACCCATCACAAAGCACCCAGATTCAATCTTTTGTCGAATAAAATGACAGTCAACTTCTTATCCTTTGTTCTTTCCGGAACCACTCGATTTGAAGTAATGTGTATTACCCCTTGATTGTCAAATTTGAATTTCACGGGTAATAGAATGAGGAGTTCAATCTTTTGAATCTGGTGAAGGCGGAACTCAAGTTCTATTAATTTGAACCACCATTTTCTTTTTAAAAAAAAAAAGAAATTGTTGTTACTTTTGAGTGAGGATGAGAAGAAAAGATGATATCTTGGAAAGAGAATAGTCTAAGGAGTCCACCCATCTCATTACCCATCACTGTGGGACTTTTGTCATTCTTCAACACCCCACATCACGCCCAGTGCCTAGCATTTGGTGTGTGGGCAATTAAATTTTAGAAGCCCAACATTGGGTGAGACGGGTCCTGCTCTGATACCATGTAAACTTACGTCTTTGGCCTAACTCAAACCTCAAAAGCTAGCTCAAAGGGAGGACGATGTCCAAGTTTTATAAGGAATCTACCCAACTCATTAACCATCAATGTGGAACTTTTTGGAGCAGAAAGAACTTCTCAGAATACGAATCCAAACACTTGGCTCTAATGAAAATTCAAAAACAAATGTCGTGTAGAAAGTATCAAAGCTGGTGTCCAAAGAGATAGTGGCATCTTAAAAATTCCAGAGAGATGAGCAAACCAACTTCCAGAGAGGAGATGTGTTAGAAACTGAAGGGAAGATGAAAAGAAAAACAATTCGTAAAAGTTTTTTTCCTGCGTACAGTCACACACAACATTAATAATTCCTCTCTTAACAATATTTTTAGCAAAATGTGCATGAAAACAGAGGGATATGAAGGTCTTTCGAGATAACTTCCTTCAATGGATTAAGAACTCTAATCACTTGGACAAATAACAAAATAATAAAAAGTTAGGATGATGTTGTTTTAAAGACGGACCTTTCCAGCTGCCTTAAAACAGGTATGTAAGGATGACAACTTTGACCCCATACAGGCAGTGAGTTTTAGGAAGGAAGATTGTATTTGTGTAGGAGAAAGACCACGACAGTTTGTGGGAAGGGGGGGATATATAATACAATGATTGCTTACCCTTAACTCTCAAATTAAAGTATTTAGAACAGTATCATAGTTTTTAATGAGAAAACGTGGCTTTTTACAAAGTTCAGCCAGTCATCTATATAAGTTAGATTATCATGAATGCTCAGAAAATACACAAATAAGTAATTCATCCACCAATATAAAGCTTAAGATATATATCAAGTCACACATTGTCAAGCTGATGCATCATTTTCCTCAGTGGAATAAAGTTGCAGCATGTGTTTGAGGCATCTCAACTTCCCTGTTATATCTTCTCCGCTATCTTATCTCAGATCAAGCTAAAAGTTAATAGTAAAGACAAGTTCAAATTTTCAATAGTCACAAAATCATTTTGCACATTAACATGAAAGATCTTGCACATGTGGAAGGAAGAATCGAGAAAGCCATCAGAATAGCACAATATCAAGACATAGGTACTTGCCTGACGGTGCTACCGGTGGATCATCAACTAAATTAGTTGCGGGAATGGGAATATCCTCCAGTCCACCAGAAATGTCCTCACATACCAACCTATATACAGAAAAAGTAAGAGTCTGCCCTATTTAAATTCAATTCAGATAATTAATCAGTTGTATTCTATTTACCCTCGTATTTCAGAAATGGAGTTGGGAATACAGCCTCGAGTAAAATGTACCTGCATATGACAGAAGCAAATTAATATGACAAGTTGAAATTTGATCAGTTGAAGGCAAGTAAGTGACTGAAGGTGCAACAACAACAACATTACCAATGAAATCCCACAAGTAGGTCTACAAAAGGTAGAGTCTACACCTTAGCCCTACGGCATAGAGGTAGAGAGGCTATTTACGGAAGACCCTCGGCTCAAGACAGTATGAAAAAGGACATACAAAAGTAAAGAAGACATAGCAAATAACACAGAGTGCATTGCATAGCTTTCAAGGAAAAGAAACAATAGCAATAGGAAAATATTGCAATAACTAACACACGATAAAAAAAGTAGTAAAAGAAAACGAGGGACAAGCAACTACGGGAATATGGTTATTAATATTGCGATGAAAGGAGAAACAACTATGGTACGACAAACAAACTACCGCAAGCCTAACCGCAAGAAAGTGAACCACCGTTCCACAATCGTCTAACTTTATATGCTAATTTGCAACCTTCATGTCTTCATACCTAAGGTCATGTCCTCAATAAGCTGAACATATGTCATGTCCTATCTAAACATCACCCGCTTGTCAAACTCTCCACCTCCTTGTCAATCGACCTCGCTTGCTACATCTAGTCCACTACGTAGGTCACTCCACTTTATCTAGAATATCTTCATTCTTAATCTTATCTTTCATAGTATGCCCCACAAATCCTCGTCAACATCCGCATTTCCACTATCGTCTTTACTTGAAAGTTCTTAATTGGTCGACACTTTGTCCCAAACAATATAGTCAGCTTAGCCACCACTATGTAGAACTTAACTTTAAGTTTGTGGTATATTCTTGTCGCACAGAATTCCAAAGGCAGCGAGCCTCCATTTTATCCACCCACTCCTATATGTTGTAAACATATAGCCTAGTTAACTCTGTTGCGAGTTTCGAAAAATAAAATAAAGCATCATTTAGTTGCAAGAATTTATAGCGCTAAGGCAATTGCACTACTGAATTTACCATAGTTGAAGCTAGCTCACTAACTAAAGTAGAGATGATGTTTCAAAGAAGAAAAGCGAGAAGTATACTAAAAAATGAATGAGTAGAGCTTAACGAAGTGAGGAGATGAGTACATTACCACTAATATGTAGTGCTACATTAGCACTTAGCTCAAATAGAAGGCAAATGCTAGTAAAGTATCATGGGGAAAAATTATACATGGTGGCGAGCGTATATGTTGATACTAGGATAATAAATGCTACAAGAGATATAGGGTGTTGTTGACATGTGTGTCTTATGTATTCCTTTGTGGCATGACTAATTTGAGCATCATTCCAAGCTAGTATAATGTTATACACATCAATTGTTGGGTTGTGCATATCATTATATATGTTGTTGGGTGCATTTGGAACATGCATTAAACTTGGATAGTTAAGATTGCTATATTTGTGCATATCTTTATATGTTGTAGTCATTCATACTTATTTGTGTTTTTTATACACAACATTATTGTTGCTTTCAAAGATATAATTACACAAGTTAACAATAAGTGATTTTCGAAAATACTTTATCGTTACTTCGTAACAAACGATCAAACTACGCATTGATTTTATACACATGCTACAGTGACTACACCGATGTGTGCATCTTGTAATTCTTATACTGACTTGTAGTATGCAATTTTTCATCTTGGGGGTTGTGTCTAATAGTCTGGTTTGAATTTGGCTTAATAGAATCTAGTTTATATTACCTTGTAAGTTATATTATGATTCGTTCATTTGATGGATTATGTTAGGTGCCAACAAGGCTTAGATGGGATTTGGGTCATGACATAGATAATACAACGTACATAGGGCCTGTTTGGAAAGTCACCCTGTAATTGGATTTGGTGTAATTGAGTGAAATTACACTATTTGTAATGTTTGGTTGTTCATGTAAATATTTGATCACCAAGTAATTGAATGTAATTGGGCAGTGTGTAATTACACTCTTCAATTCACAAGGAAGAGGCTATAAATTGCTAGTAATTAGATAGTGTAATTACAAGTTGATTACTTGTTAATTTCTTCCATTTATTTTTATTTATATTTGTTTTCATTTAAATGTATTTTTTTAATTATTATTTTAAATTCTTTTTTATTTTTATTATTCTAAGATTTTTTATTTATATTTGTTTTCATTTAAATTGTATTTTTTTAATTATTATTTTAAATTCTTTCTTATTTTTATTATTCTAAGATTTTTTATTTATATTTGGTTTCATTTAAATGTATTTTTTTAATTATTATTTTAAATTCTTTCTTATTTTTATTATTCTAAGATTTTTTATTTATATTTGTTTTCATTTAAATTGTATTTTTTTAATTATTATTTTAAATTCTTTCTTATTTTTATTATTCTAAGATTTTTTATTTATATTTGTTTTCATTTAAATTGTATTTTTTTAATTATTATTTTTAAATTCTTTTTATTTTTATTATTCTAAGATTTTTTTATTTATATTTGTTTTCATTTAAATGTATTTTTTAATTATTATTTTAAATTCTTTTTTATTTTTATTATTCTAAGATTTTTTTATTTATATTTCATTTCCTTGTTATTCTCAAACTTTACTTTCATGTGATTCCATGCAATTTTTCATATTATCTAAAAAAATCATCAGTATATTTTTGTTAGTATTCTAATTTTTAGATTAAAGTATAGAACTCATTGTTGAATAAAATTATGTACTTACGTTTTTCTTTTCTTTTAAATCATATTTATGTATGTTATGTTGAAATTTGACATAAGAGTATTATGTTAAATTATTTGTTTTGAATTTAGAACTTAAGTCATATTTTCAATTTCATTTGTTTTAGACTCGATATTTTACATTGCAAGCTAATTTTTTAAGTCAAACTTGATAGATTATCTTTTTTGTCAAATGTTTGATAATTTTATGACATTATATTTATAATATTAATCTTTTTGTCATACATGCATTTCATGATGTTCATAGAAATTTTGCACTTTTAATCTTTATGATTAATTGAATTAAATGATACAAAATTGTGAAATATAAATCAATTATTTTTATAAAAATATTAGTTAACATATGTTTATTAATTGATATACTTTCAAAAGACAATATATATATCTTAAAATTCAATTTAATATCATTTATAAAGGCTCTTATTTGTCTAATATAAATTTTTAATTTAAAAAATTAATTTTTATTTTTAAAATTAAATATAACCTTATTATTACACTTGTGCAACCAAACAGTACACTAGTAATTACACTGTGGCAAACAAACAGGTCAGCGTAATTACTAAGTTGTGTATTTACTACCCTAGTAATTACACAATTCCAATTACCTGGTGTCTTTCCGGACAGACCCCTAGTGTAATACCACAGGTGGTACCGAGGAAGAGTAGGATACACGAAAGCCATACACCTACCTTCGTGTGTAGAGTGGTTGTTTCCAATATATACCAAAATTGGCAACACATCATTTGGTTTGTTTCTCCAAAGTTGCCAAAACAAGTGTGCCTAAGACTTCGGAAAATCACTAGTTTGCCGCCTACCATGAATTCAAAAACTATGTGAAAGTTTCAAATTTGGAAGGAATTGTACCTTTAGAAGTGACACATAGATAATGTAAAACAAGTGGACGACCTAGAGAAGAAAGACTGACAAGAATAAATAGCTTGAACTTTCCATATAACAAACTCAAGAAATATAGGTATCTGGTCATCAGTGAAATTACAAATTTGAATCTACTTTCAAGAAGCAGAGATTCAATTTTTTTTAGAGAGAGAAAGGTAACTTAATATTCACAAACACAAGCTCATCATCCCAAAAATGATGAGACTGATCAGCTACACCCCTTTTGGGCAATGCAAAAAGCATACACACTAAACCATGGTTCTTTACAATTTTCCTATTAAATCCACAAAAAGTTCTATATCCCCCACCATATCCTGTTTACACCAAAAATAGAGTAAGCTAAGGCAATTCATCTTGATTTTTTGGATGTTGTTACTATTGTCTTCAACGCATCATAAATTCCTTTCCTTCCATAAAGTCCACCAAATGCATGCTGGATCAGTTCCCCCACCAGTCCTCCTCTTTTCCTCTTTTCTCAATCTCCTTCCAGCTAAGCAGCAACCCTTCAGTGATCTTTGGCATTACCCAACACACACCCAAAATACATAAGAACATGTTCCACGGATTTACTGTTGTTTTGCAGTGTAGAAACAGATGTCCATTGACCTCAGCCTCTTGATCACACATAAAACACCTTGAGCAAATTTGTCTACCTTTTCTCTGTAAAACTTCATGTGTAAGGCATGCTCTCCTACATACCAACCAGGCAAAGCAAGAAACTTTCAGGGGGGGTTTAATCTTCCAGATTAATTTCCAAGGCCATAAATGATCTTGTGCTTGAGGTACATTACTCCTCCAGTAACATGACTTTACAGTGAATATTCCTTTGCTATGGAGCTTCCAACATACCTTATTTGGAACCTCAGGGATATCTGGGAAGGTGCTAAGAAGTTGGAGCAAGTTTGCAATTCTGACTATCTCCCAATCATATGTGGACTACACACCTGAGAAATAGTGGTTTTGTCTTGTTGACTAAGAATGAATAAATAAGGAAACTTAGCCAAAAGGCTCCCATACCTTATCCAGTTTTCTCTCCAGAAGTCAATTTTCATTCCAATCCCTACCTTGAGATAGGTGTTGACCTTGAATTAAGGCCATAATCTTCTAATGGTTTTCCATACACTGCAACCGAAAACCCCTAGAGCTTCTTCAGTGGTCCAATGACACATTTGGCCATATTTTTCTATAATAAATCTCATCCAGAGAGATGTGTCTTCATTGCAAAATCTGCACAATCACTTCTGTAATAAGCATGAATTTTGGAGCCGGAGTTTCTTGATGCCTAATCCCCCTTGTTTCATGTTGAGGGTTACGACTTCCCATTTCACCAGATTATAGCCTTTGTTCTCCCTGTTCCCATTCCAAAGGGAAGTCCTTCTGAGTTGGTTGATTTTCTTTACTACACATTTTGCGAAAGGAAACAGACTCATCATATATGGTGGCAGGGCATCTAGCACAGATTTCACTGGAGTCAACCTTCCTCCCAGAGATAGACACTAGCTCTTCAACCTACCCAACCTTTTGTCACATCTCTCCAACACTTCACTAATACTTCCAACTCCTTATTCTTTGCCCCCAATAGCATTCCTAGATACTTTGTGGGCAAAGATCCAATTTGACATCCCAAATTATTAGCTAGCAACTCCATGTTGCCTACTAGGTTGACTGGGTATAGAAAGCTCTTTTGTCAGTTAACATGAAGGCCTAAAATAGCTACAAAGATGGTAAGGATTGCCTGAATATGCCTGATCCAAAGAACATCAGCTTCACAAAAAATAAGGGAGTCACCTGCATATAGCAAGTGAGTGACTACCAACTCATCATATCTATTCCCTTGTATCCGTGCCTAGAACCCCCTTTAACCAACCATTGGTATTGGCCTTTCAGAACATATGATTGAGTCCTTCCATAGCTAGAAGGAAAAAGGAAGGGTGAAAGAGGGTCAATTGGAAATTCTTGCTAAACATTCTAAGTGACATTCTAATTGGAAATTCATAAGCCATTATAATGTCTAGTTTGCAAAGAAAACCTGAGGCTTTTTGTTTTGTCTGAGAACAGCTCATTTGCCAAAAGATGAAGACTCCATGATTTGTCTGCCTGTTAGAAAGGCCATTTGATGAACAGACACTAATTTCCCCATAACAGTTTTCAGCCTCTCAATGATAATCTTGGAGATTATCTTATAAAGCCCTCCAATCAAACTTATGGGCCTGAAGTCCTTTAATTCTTCCGCTCCTGCTTTTTTGGGATTAAAGCAATGAATGTGGCATTAAAGGATTTTTCAAAAACTTCTTTCTAGTGGAAATCTTGAATTGTCAACATCAGGTCTTTCTTTAATGTTCCCCAACAAGCTTCCATCTCGTCCCGGGGCTTTGTCCCCATCACATAGTTTAAGGCCACACAAGACCTCAGTTTTTGAGAAAGGTCTGAGGAGCCACTCTTGTTCCTCCAAGGTTATTGTTGGACAATCCAGGAGTTGGAAGGCGGGTTTCCAATTTTCAGATTCCGAGTACAGTTTCTTGTAAAACTCTATCATAGTTGATTTCATATCTTCAGGTTTGTCCATCTCTTCCCCTCAGACAATCAGTTTGTCAATTGTGTTATACCTTCTGTGTGTGTTGTTGCCATTCTTTGGAAAAACTTGGTGTTATTATCCCTTGCTTCAACCACAAGATTCTGGATTTGTCTCCACCTAGATTCTTCATTCTTGGCCAATTTTCTACAATTCCACTATTCTAGTTGCCCTAACCATCCTTTCATCTTCAGTTAATTCTCTGCTTTCCTTAGCTAGATCAATCTCTGTCAGTTTTTCTAACAAACTAATTTTCTTATTGATCAATTCACTGAAGGTACTTTTACTTCAGTCCATGAGTTTCTGCTTCAACATTCTTAGCTTGACATTAAGTCTGTAATCTGGACAGCCTTCAACTACAAACTTATTCCACCAACTATGTATCAGCTCATTGAAACCTTCAACCTTCAACCACCAACTTTGAACTTGAAGTTTGATTTCTTCTTTTCCCAGTTACCATGCTCTAGCATCACAAAGCAGTAATCAAGTGTTATTCTAGGAAACATTTTTTGGAAATTTTCTTCCCAATCCATGGTAAAAAGGAACCTGTCGAGCTTGCATTCGGGTGGTTAATACCTCTAAACCAAGTGAATTTCCCTCCAATTAAGTGAGTATCATGTAATTCCATGTCTTCTATCCAGTTAGAGAAATCAGACATAACATTGGTAATTCTGTTGCATCCTCTTCTCTCTTCCATTTTTCTGTTGGTGTTAAAGTCTCCACCAGTAACCTATGGACCATCACAGAGTTGCCCGACTGCTGCCAATTCCTCCCACCAGAGAAGTTTCTCATCCCTAGTATGAGGTGCATAAACCGCACTGAAAAACCAAGTGAAAGAGTTCTGGATGGATTTGAACTCATAGGTGACAGAGTACTGACCCACTTCTATCAGGCTTTCATCCCATACTCTACTATCCCACATTATAAGTATCCCCCTCTACTACTTTCAGCTTCCATATACCCACATCTCATCCATCTACAGGACCACAATTGTTTGGCAATTTCCTCAATATTTTTATTCACCTTTGTTTCTTGAAGACAATAAATATCAACCTTCCAGAAAAAAATTGTTAATCAGGATTCTAGTATTCTTGTTGTTGAGCCCCCTTACATTCCAAGTAATTATTTTTAAAGATTGTTTATCAGGATTCTAGTATTCTTGTTATTGAGCCCCTTACATTCCAAGTAATTATTTTTACTTTCATTTGCAAGCTAAGCTTAAATTCCTCCCCCTGTTCCTAACTCCTTCCACTCCTTCATTAATACTAGACTTCAGATTTTTTAACTCATTCTTCCCAATTCATCTGCTCTTAGGCGTTCCACTGTTCTTCTCCAGCCCCTCTTTATCCAGTTCAGATTTTCTCTTGTCAATCTTCATGAGCAACGCTAAAGTTTCTTTTTCGAAACATTCAAATGCCATCCCATACGTGTTACTTAACTCAAGGATATGTGAATTGACCCAGTTCGATGCTTCTGTCTCAATCTTTGCTTGGAAATTGGGAGACTGAGTGTTCACTGGTTCAGCTTCAAAGATTTATTGCATTTGCAGGTTCGAGTTTGTGTGATTCGACTCTCAATTGCTATCTTCGAGATCTTTCCCTTTGCGTATATGGTATTTTCGATAGCCTTAGGGTGATCTGTAATAGCCCTAGATTGCTTGAATACATTCTCTTCCCCCGAGCCTTAAGTCGACTTCTCCAATAACCTTGTGGCCTTAGAATATTCTGTGTTGCTTTCCCAGTTTCTGAAGGTCTCTAAAAAATTAACAGCCAAGTCTTTTAACTCTAGCATGTGATCTATGTCTGTCTAGATCAGAGCCCACGCTTTTACCCTTTAGGTATGACCTAGATATCTGTTGGATAATAGCTACCCCCCCCCCCCCCCCCCCCTC